ATTGTAAGTAGTTGTGACTCGAGCACCCATCCATTTGAACTTCCCTAGTTTTTATAAGAAAAATAGCAGACACTGAGCAGCTGTTTGCCTGTCTGCTTCCGTGTGATGTCACAGTCAATTTTTCTATCCCTTGTTTTCTGACCTAAAGGTCTGTTGTCGTTTGTATTTATCTTTTCCAAATTTTCTACCCCCTCACCTCCTTTCATGTTATGTTGGTACCCACTTGCAACAAAATGTGATATTTTGGAAGACATCAAGAGCTTACATGAAGGCAAATTGGGGATCAGACATTGGGTGGCTCTTTCTCTTGCTAAAATAAAACGTTGTGCTTAATGATTATTTTAATTATTGTACTTGATGTTTCTGTGATAACAAACTTTTGTCCAGTGTGATTTTTTTTTGTTCAGTGTTCTTTTCAGCAATACTTTTATGTTCTTAGAGACAAATGTAGCCATTTAAAATAGAATAATTATTGAAAGCTGGGCTCTTCATTAGTTTTAGTTGCATGTAAAAAGTTAGATGTAAAACTGCTTCTGAAATGTAAAAGATCAGAACAAAAACCAATTAAACTTAATTGGAATTTGATCGCAAATAAGCACTTTGGTGTTAAATATTAGAGTATTTCTCTACAAAACTGTCAGGCTGCTGTATGTTGAAAGTTTAAAGATGGTTATCTCACTGCAAAAACTTTACTGTGCAGAATGAAAATTAGAACAGATTTTGAATTTGTTGGATTTCTCCTCAAAATCTGAAATTCGTGTAATGCCATGTATTCAGAAACAGTGTTGTTATTCTAAAGTTTTTTGATCTTTGTTAACTTGTTTATCTAAAGAACAAAGAACAATACAGCACAGGAATACGTCTCTTGGTCCACCCTGCCTGTAACAACAATTGGTACCTTTTAAACTAAAAACCTTTCACTTCTAAGCAAGCAATCAGTATCCCTCTATTCCTTGCCTATTTATGTATCTGTCAAGATGCCTCTTAAATGTTGCTATTATATCAGCTTCTACCACCTCTGGCAGCACATTCCAGACACTTATTACCCACTGTATCAAAAAACTTGCCTCTTACATCTTTAAATGTTCCCCCTTTTACTTTAAACCTATGTTCCCTAGCAATTGACATTTCTACCCTCCAACTATCCATTCTAATCATGCCTCTCATAATTTTGTAAACTTGTATCGGGTCAGCCTTAGCCTCTGACATTCAAGTGAAAACAAGCGAAGTTTGTCCAGTGTCTTGTCATAATTAACACCATCCAAACCAGGCAACATCCTGATAATTTTTTTCTGTACCTTCTCTAAAATCTCCATACCCTACACTGACAGCCAGAACTGTATGCAATATTCTAAATGTGACCTAACTAAAGTTCTGTACAGCTGCAACATGACTTGCCAATTTTTATACTCTGTGCCCTGACACATGATGGCAAGTGTGCCATATTCCTTCTTGATTACCTTAACCACTTGTGTTGCCACTTTCAGGGGACTGTGGATCTATATACTTAGATCTCTCTGTATGTTAATGCTTCTAAAGTTCTGCCATTTCCTGTATACCTCCCTGCTGCATTAGATTTTCCAAAATGCATCACTTCGCATTTGTCTGGATTAAATTCCATGTGCTATTTCTCTGCCTGAGTCTCCAGCAATCTATATTCTGCTGTATCCTCCAGCAATCCTCCTCACTATCTGCAGCTTCCCTAATCTTTGTGTCATCTGCACACTTACTAATCGGACCACCTACATTCTCCTTCAAAGTATTTATATATGTATATAACAGACAACAGGGGTCCCAGCACAGATCACTGCGGAGCACCACTGGTCACAGATCTCCAGTCAGAAAAACACCCTTTCACACTATTCTCTGTTTTCTGTGACTAAGCCAGTTCTGTAGCTATCTAACTATATCACCGTGGATCCCATGTGACTTCAGTCTGCCATGAAGGACCTTGTCAAAGGTCTTGCTAAAGTCCATGTAGACAACATCTGCCCCCCTGCCCTCAATCATCCTTTGTCATTTCCTCAAAAAAAACTGTCAAGTTTGTGAAACACAGCATCTCCTGCACAGAACCATGATGTCTATTGCTAATAAGTCCATATTTTTCCAAACGTGAGTTATTCCTGTCCCTAAGAATTTTTTCCAATTAATTCCCGACCACTAACAGAAGGTTCACCGGCCTGTAATTTCCCAGATTATCCTTGTTGCCCTTCTTAAATAAAGAAACAACTTTAGCTATTTTCCAGTCCTCTTGGACTTCTGTTGTGACTAAAATCTGTGACAGATTTTGTGCAAGGCCCCAGCAATTTCCTCACCTGCCTCCCTCAGTATTCTGGCACAGATCTTAACAGTTCCTGCAGACTTGTCTACCTTAATGCTTTTCAAAACAATGTGAATGCCAATACAAGTTATTCGTTAGGACCTCACCCCATTCCACTGGTTCCATGCATAAATTTCCTCCCTTGTCCTTGAGTGGACCTCCCCTTTCCCTAGCTACCCGCTTGCTCCTTATATGCATATAAAATGCCTTGGGATTTTCCGTAATCTGTTTGCTGAGGACATTTGATGGCCCCTTTTAGCCCTCCTAACTCCTTGTTTAAGTTCTTTCCTGCTTTCTTTATATTCCTTGAGGGCTGCGCCTGTCTTCAGATTCTTAGTATCCTATTTTTGTATTCTAATGCCCATTAAGAAGAGTTAATTATTTCAACAACTAAGGCAGTATTTTATGAGTGGTGGGGCTGCCAAAAATGTCACCCTTAACTGTCAGGCTTTCCCATAGCCGTTTAACATAGAGGCCCCCGTTTGGAAAGGTGCTAGCTTATCTGGTCACAGTTGAATTGAATTGAATTGAATTGAATAATTTATAGTCACATGTATTCAATGTAAAAATACAGTGCCATCTGATTCAGTGGGTACTGCTGGGACTGCATTCAGTCAGGAGCTGGACGACAGGCAAATTAATTGAGGGATTCTCAGTGGGCTCAGGAATAGAAGGCCTCTGTAAAGTGGGGACTGAGGTGGGGATGGGCTGCACAGGCCTTGATGGGCAGACCTTTGGGAGACAACTCCCACTTTTTCTTATCCAAAGACCCAAACAGGTTTACCTGGTAGGCTTCCTGCCCATTGCCAACCACCTCCTCACAGTGGAAAATTGTGGCTGCAAAGAAGAAGCTATTAGTTGACCACTTAAGAGCCTCGATTGGCAGAAAGTTGCATGACTGCCGGAGTCATTGGCCTCTACTCAGTAAGTCATATTCAAACTAGGAACAAGCAGGTGGGTAAGAAACATGAAAGGCATCCATGGTGTTTGATGGTGGTTCTTCCTCCCCAGATTTCAAATATATCCACAAGAGACTGCAAAATTCTTCTCTTAATGTAATGTAGAGGTGATTGAACGTTCTTCATTTGGAAGCAAGAAAGACCTTTACTGGTTCAGTTGTTGTTCATAAATTCAGATTAATTACAATGCATTGTAATTTGAGGAGATGTATTCACTTTAACTGGTTAAGTTTGTTATGACTGATTAACCACTTTTTCCTGAAATACAATCTTACCTAATAAACTGTGTCACACTTATCAAATTGGAAGTATGTTTTGCACTGAACATCATTCCTCATACAATTTACCACAGAAGAAATGTTTTGAAGATTTCCTTTGAATTCTGTGTGCATGATAGGGTAAAGAACAATGGAATAGAAATAGCAAATTCAAAATGTTGGCAACTTTTGCAAGGAATTGTTTTCATAAACCCTGGGCAGGATTTGTCTGCCTCAAGGTCTTTCATGGTTCCTGTCAGTCGAAAACAGCTGGGAAACATCTGGCATCCATTTTTCAGTATCACTTGGAAAGAATTTCACATGTAAATAAAACCAATATAAAAGCACAGCCCTGTGAACACTAGCTCTTGTACACTGGATCTAAAAAAGCACAATGGATTCCCTGTATTGTTAGTAGGCTGTTAGTTAGCTATGACATTTTTGTACGTTTGGTAAGCTGCAAGTTATTTTCCTATCACTAAAAAATCATGCATTGTTTATGAGTCTATAAACAAGTATATATTTAGACAGTATATTGATCATAACTTGATAAATGTTTTTTTCCATAGGCATTGATTACAGTATTTAAATTTGGCTTTAAGTTGAAAACTGCTTATAAAAGTTTGAGGCTAAGTGTAGAAAGACAATCCATTAATTCTTGTGTCTGTGTGACTATTTTTTTTTTCTTTAAGCAGTTAAATATGTAAGATCCACTAGTACTTAAAATAGTGATTATTGCTTCCTTGTTCATATGGGGAAATCTTTTGAAATATTTTATTTGTGAAATATCAGACCTGATTTTTCACAGCCAGGCCTGCCATACTTTCCTCCAATCAAGCAATTTGGAGGGCAGTTGTGGGCCTTTCATCAAAATGAAGACCCTAGAAGCCCAAGGCAAGTTGCAGCCAATCATTGGCCAGCAGTTCTTGCAGTTCTAACACTTGGCAGCCCCAAAAATCCTTAGACAGCAACTTCTAACTCATGATCACTTCCATCTAGAAGAACAAGGGAAACAGATATGTGGGAACATCATCATCTGTAAGTTTTCCTCCAAGCTGCTCCCCTACTTGACTTGGAAATATGTCACTGTTCCTTCACTGTGACTGGTTCAAAATCTGGAATTCCCTGTCTAAGGACATTGTAAATCTACACACAGCACATGGACTGCAGTGATTCAAGAAGGCAGCTCACCATCACCTTCTCAAGGGCAACTAGGGGCTGGCAATAAATGCCGACTAACCAGCGATGTCTACATCCCATGAGTGGATAAAAAAATGTAACACATTAAATTCAAACTTTGGTCTGTCTTGGCAGAGGCACAATTCGCTGAATTATCTTTTTTAGTGCTGTTAAAGGAAGTAATTCTTGTATCCAGAAAGGTTAAGGAGCTTGTATTTTTGCGAGAATAGATTATTCTAAGAACAGTTTCTGAACTTTTTTTTTTACTAGTTATTTTAATTTAAGTTTCTAGTTCAAACTGGCCTTCGGGAGGTACATCATCAATCAGCAGTGGAATAAAAGCGAAAGGTACAGCCGATGTGTACAGTAAATTCAGACCTGTGAAAAGAGTTTCACCTCTCAAGCACCAACCAGAAAGCCCTGAAAATGATAGAGATACTGAACAGCATAAACTCAAGGGTAACTATAAAAAGCAAGATGATACTGAAAATCCAAGTGAACCTAATACCTTGTGTTACAACAATGGACAGTTATTTAAAATCAAAGACACTGGCACTAGCATTTTGCTTGGTGAACTTGAACATTATGATTTGGATATGGATGAAATTTTGGATGTGCCTTATATTAAAGTAAACCACTTTCCTTCCCAAAGATGTAGTCCTTTCACAAAGGTTGCCTCAGAGAAAAGGCCAGGCATGGAAATGAGAGACGATGGCAACAGGATTTGCTCAGCAGTGAAGCATGAGAATTCACCAACCAACGTAACGCAATTTTGTATTCTGTCACCAGTAAATAGTTTGGAGTTGAGGAAAGCAAAACCAGTTGTCACAAAACCTCATAGGCATGCAACTGACAGCATAGAGGGCTCCGAATCACCAGATGGCTGTGATGCAATACATAATGCTGAAGCTGAGGGTAAAGATTTGAGTAGCAGAACTTCAAGCTTGTTTGTTAATTCACATGGACATAAGATTAGCGGTACTATGCAAAACTCTCGTCCAAAGACATTGTCTCTGCAAACCCCAACTGAGAGTAAACTAGAAGAAGGAAATGCTAATAAAAATGGGATTAGCATGGGAAGACCTGGAGAGACAAGTGAGGAAGCAAAAAACGTCAAAAGTATTTTAAACATAGTCAGAGAAGGACAGATTTCGTTGCTGGTAAGTAGACTATTGCGTTTGTTTGTAAATGTTGTAAAAATACAAAGTAGCCAAAAAGCGAAATAGTTGGATGCTAAAGTCAAGTTTTTATTTTTTGTTCTGTTTTTTAAATTCTGTTTTATGCCGATTCTGGAATTGCTTGTATTCTAAGAGTCCCAGGAATTTTCAACATTGTTGAACAACAAAACTGAAGATGGCTTTTTAACAATAATCTTTAATTTTTAGAAAGCTAAAACCTACCTCACAATTGTATGCAGAAATGCTGCACCATTATCTGATTTGATAACCTGAACAGAGAAAGCAGCACTTCTTTTTTGGTGGTCAATAAAGCTTTCCAATTATTAAAGAAGTAAACTGAAGTTCTTTTATATGTTGTTTTGTTGATGTTTTAAGTGAACATTGACTGCTGTCCACAAAAGGTCAATTTTTTAAGAGTACTGTTACTTTCAGGAGGTACTACAAGACAATAAACAGTAGAAGAGCTTTAATTGTATTATTGTGGATCACATCCCTACAGTTATTCCCAAATTAATTTTCAGTTGTGAATCTGACGGAACTCATGATGAGAACACTGGGGCCTCTGTGATACTTAGTATTCACTAGAATTTGTGACGTTACAAGTTTGTACAACAGTGCCATAGTTACTTAACCTGTATCCAAGGTTCTGGTCAGTTCCAGCCATGGAATCAAGCAGCTTGCTAATCTGTTTCCAAATAAGCTGCTTTGAATGAGGACACTACAGTATTAAGACAAAATTGGGTAATAATTTGGATTAAGTATTTTGCCTTATTTTAAATAATTTTTACAATTAATTCTGAAGCTGCTGTTAATTACAAAGAGTTCTGTCATCATCATTTCAAAATATGTGTTAATTTGCATGTTTTAAAGTTTCAGTAACAATTAAAATGCAATTTCCTAGACTTTGTATGAATACCTTTGGTTATGTCAGAGTGTTCAAGAAACATGGAGTGATAAGTTGGCCATTTGTCAATTATACCATAATGAAGGTAAAGAAGAAGGTCCTCTTCCCCCCCAAGTCTAGTCATAAAGAATATTGCTCCGCATAGTTTGGGATTGCCGTCTTGGGCACAACTTGTAAACCAGGTCTGTAAATGCACCTAATATTTGTCAATATCATATTTCCTGGAAACCTAGAAGCAGTACAAACAATCAGAATCAAATTAAAACATTGAACTTGCATCATAGTATATACATTAGAGTTCAAGTTTCAACTCCTTTCCCCATCATTCATATATATAGTATAACATGGTTAAGAGCTTTTAATCAGATAAACTTTTCAGTTTTCAATATGGTTTGTGCGAACGCAGAAGAATGCATTTAAAGAAGCTCTTAAAGGGAGCAAAAGATGCAACTGTGGTGGGGCCATTATTACAGAAAGTGGCATACTCAAACTTAGAGACCGATTAATAGTTGAGATTTGGATATATTATACCTGTATGAGTAACTCACTTTAATTCAAATTTCCACAGTTTCCTGGGCTTCTTTGGTTGGTGTTTCAATTCCGTATCTCTCTGGGTGAAAATATACAGGAACTGTATCATTAACTGCAGGCTGTTAATGTAGCATAAATCCAGTGTGCTGGTACTTCAAAGTGTGCTTATTTTGTTGTTACAGAAAAAAAGGTAAAGGGATCTAGTGTGCTACATTTAAGTTTTATTGGATGTCAGAACATTGCATTATTGCAAATATCATGTTCGTGTCAGATAATTTTTTTCTAAAATATAAGTGCAATAAGCAGTCAGTTGCTTAGGGGATATAATACAACAACAACTTGAAGAATCCTGCATGAAATTTCAATGTATTATCTCAATCCAGCTTAGTTCAGTAATAGTTTGTAAATTCGCTCTCTAATATCCTTTATTTGTTCATGAGATGTTGGCATCACTGGGTGGGCCAGCATTTATTGCCCATCCAAATAGCCCTTGAACTGAGTGGCTTGCTTTCAGAAGACAGTTAAGAGTCAATTACATTGCTGTGGGTCTGGAGTTACATGTAGGCCAGACCAAGTAAGGACAATCTTACTTCCTAAGGACATTAGTAAACCAGATCAGTTTTATGATGATTGATAGTGTTTACATGGTGGCTATGCTTTATTATGCTAGCTTTTTAAAATCTGGAGTTTTAGTGAATTCTTATTCACAGACATGATGAGATGTAAACCCCACGTACCCAGAACATTAGCCTGGCTCCCCAGATTTCTAGCCCAGTGACATTAACAACATGCCAGTGCCCTCCACAACATTTCTTGCATATTTTACTGTATGTATACTGCACAAGCATTTACTGCCTTGTTGTCAGAAAGTGCTGCTACTGTGATTCACTAATTTTTTTTTCAGTCACCTGCCAAGAGAAAATAAATGGCATTCTGATCAAATCTGTGATTAGATACATTAAGTTTTCCCACACGCCAGCACCTGTAACTCACCTTTGACTCATGCCCCTCAGAGTGTACTTATCCTTTTGTGTCAAAGAGTGGGATTTCCAATTCAGTTCTAAAATAAAATTGGCCAGAGATTGAAAGAATTGCTGGACTTTACACGGAAACTCCATTTAAAACAAAGACTTCAGGCAGAGTCAGGAAACACCTTACATGTCTTTTCATGATTCATCTTGGTCCCAAAGTGGCATCTAAGCATTGGCAGCATACAAAATAGGAACATAAATATACTCTCAAGCTTGCTCCACCATTCAGTAAGATCCTTTTCCTCTTGTCCAATATCCTTGAACGTTCAGTTCTCAGTCCTGGTCACAGTACAGCCATATTTCTGGCAATTAGATCATACCTGTGCAGCCCTATTTGAGTCTTTAGATCATCTACCTTATTGCAAATGCTGCATGCATTCAGGTAGAGTGCCCTTTGTCATTTTGACATCATTCCACTTTCAAAACATATTCAATGCTCAGCTTTGTTTTCCCAGTCTTCTAGTTGAAATCCAAGATCAGCCATCATATTGATTGATGGAGCAGGCTCAATGGATTGTATTGTGTACTGCTGCTCCTATTTCTTACGTTATGGGGTTTGTGGTGATGAAGTTAGATGAGGAAGAAAGGGAAGAGACTTGAACGGTGCATAATCACTAACAGGAACAGGCTCGGCTGTATGTTTTGTGTAACTGTTTCATTTTAATATGTAAGCCTCATTCCTATTTGTTTTCCACTGATATACCAGGAACTGTACCTACCGTCCCCTGGCATAAATACCAAAGGACATATACTCTTCTGAATGCATGAACTATTGTTTTGTTTAAAGACATAATCTATAAATTCTTCTTCTATGAAATCTTTAGCATGGGGATACACATCACTTAAATTCATGAATAAAAACCAAAAGAACAGCGGATGCTGTAAATCAGGAACAAAAACAAAGTTGCTGGAAAAGCTCAGCAGGTCTGGCAGCATCTGTGAAGGAAAAAACAGAGTTAACGTTTTGGGTCCGGTGACCCTTCCTCAGAACTGATGGTGGCTGGGAAAATGTCAGTTTATATGCAGGAAATAGGGTGGTGGGTGGGATAGGGAATAAACGACAGGATGGAGCCTTAAGAGACAGAAAAACAGTTGGACAGAAAAAGGAGTTGATAATGATCAGGCTGGGAGGGTGAATAGTTGTTAATGGGGACTATTAGTGACTAAAAGCAGGTAGTGTATTGACAGAGATAACAAGGTGTAGAGCTGGATGAACACAGCAGGCCAAGCAGCATCAGAGGAGCAGGAAGACCAACACTGCGGGCCTAGACCCTTCTTCAGAAATGGATTGTATTGGCAGGCTATGTGATATCAAGCCCTGGTGTGTTGGGTAGCGGGCTGGGACATGGGAGAGTTTAGGTCCTAAAAGTTATTTAGTTGTCATTTTTTTTAATTGTTTATATAAAAGTTATTATTTAGTTCAATTAGTTTAGGACCTAAATTGTCCCATGTCCCAGCCCCCTACCCCACACACCAGGCCTAAAATTATTGAACTAAATAATAACTTTTATATAAATGATAATAAAATAATAACTAAATAACTTTTAGGGCCTAAACTCTCCCATGTCCCAGCCCCTTACCCCACACATCAGGCCTTGTTATCAGATAGCCTGCCAATACCCTACCAGCTGTTAGTCACTCACAGTCCCCATTAATAACTATTCACCCTCCCAACCTGATCGTTATCAACTCCTTTGTCTGTCCAACTGTTTTTCTCTCTCTTAAGACTCTATCCTATCGTTTACTCCCTACCCCACCCACCTCCCTATTTTCTGCATAGAAACTGACGTTTTCCCAGCCACCATCAGTTCTGAGGAAGGGTCACCGGACTCAAAATGTTAACTCTGTTTTTTCCTTCACAGATGCTGCCAGACTTGCTGAGCTTTTCCAGCAACTTAAGTTCATGACTTTGGTAGAGGAGAGCTTTTACATTTGAATGCTCTTAATTCTGAATTCCAAAGATTAAATGCGTTTATGTGAACATACTTTTCTGTTCCATTCATGGAATGCTAATGAATTGAATTGTTCCTAATTTTCAAAAATTGATAAACTGATTCAATTTATCAGTTGATAAATGTTCTCGATGTGCTAATTCAGGGCAAGTAGAAAGTATATTATATCACAATGTCTAATTTTATCAAAACTCAAAGAATTATCTTCGCAAGACATACTCCTTACTTCTCTGAAACCATTCAACACTTCTTAGATACACCTATTCAGATCGCTTAACTTGACAAAGAACTGCAATAACATAGTGTGGAGCTGGAGGAACACAGCAGGCCAGGCAGCATCAAAGGAACAGTAAAGCTGACGTTTCGGGTCGGGACCCTTCTTCAGAAATGGGGGAGAGGTAGGGGGCTCTGAAATAAATAGAGAGAGGAGGGGTAGGTCTGGGGAAGGTAGGTGGGATGGTGATAGGTGAGTGCAGATAGGCAATGGTGGGGGTTGGTCAGTGAAGTAGGAGGAGCGGATAGGTGGGAGAAAAGTCGGACAGGTCAAGGAGGCGAGGATGAGAG